TCCTGCACCGCGTTGAAGGACTCCTCGTTGGTGATGTCATACATGAGGATAAAGCCCATGGCACCCCGGTAATAGGCGGTGGTGATAGTCCGGTACCGCTCCTGCCCAGCTGTGTCCTGGGGAGGAAGAGACCAAGGGTCAGAGAGGACCCACACATAAACCGGGGGGTGAAAACGAGCTCTCGAGATTATCCAGCCCCGGCCTCTTGAGGCACAGAGCGGGTAGGGCTTGGCCAGGAGCACAATGTTTCAGTGAGAAACCCAAACCAGACTTGCTGCCCTCGAGTCCATGCAGACCCAGTGGCCACCAGAAACTCTGTTCACAGGAGAAAGCCCCGTCTTTCTCCCAAGGAGCCACTCATTGTTTCAAACTGCTGACCGTGCGGATCGCAGCCCAACTCGGAACCACTACACCACCAGGGCTCCAAACTAGGCCAGGGTGAAGCTGCCCTTTCCAAGGCTGTAGCTCTTTATGGGGATCGAACGCTCCATCTTTGGTGGTTTTGAACTGCTGACCTTGTTAGCAACCCAATGCATGGACCACTATGCTACGGGGGCTCCAAGGGGGTCAGTGAGTGCGAACGGAAAAGGGGTACATGATCTATCCATCCATTCTACCAACGCTCCTTCCTCATCCGCTCTACTGTTTGCCCCACCCAGCGCTGGACGACTTCACTTAACAAATGGGACAGACATGACCCAGGTGGCGCTGACAGCCCAGCGTGGCAAACAGGTCATGAGAAATACATCACTTAATGTCAGAGGCAGACAAGGGCTGCGGCTGAAACTAAAGCTGGAGGGAGGTGGACGCTGCAGAGAAAGAGCAGTTTGAAAACCTGAAGGCCACGTAGTTCTCAGGGAAGAGGTTCCTGGGCAGAGAGCAGAGCCCGCGCAAAGGTCCTGAGGTGGGGCTGCGTTTGCATTGGAGGGAGGGGAAGGTGGTAGGGGTGGCCGTGGGGATGGGCCACTCGGGCCAGGGGACCTGCTGCCACCCAGTCAATCTCAACCCATGGCAATGGCATGCATTACCAAGCTACTCCCTAGGGTGGTCTTCACAGAAGCTGATGGCCAGGCCTTCCACAGTGGCGCTGGGGGTGGGGGCTGACCTGCCAATCTTTAGGTTAGCAGCCAATGACAAGTGTGGGTGTGGATACTACCCTGTCTCCCCAAAAGTAAGACCTACTTACAGTTTTGTCTCTTGCTGAAATAGAAGGCATCCCCCTGAAAATAAGACCTCCCTGAAAATAAGGCCCCCCAAAGCTACCATAACTCTGTACCCGACTAGCGGC